CAGGATCACAACAATCTCCTATGTAGGTACTCTGTGGACTGTGCAAAACTTTATTAGTGATATTTTTAGCAATAGCTGTAACAATATCCATCTTTTTCCAAAGGATTTAGAGAGGTCTAATATTTAAGGTGTTGGAATTCAGAGGGAATGAGTTTAATTTGAAGTAGCAAAAAAATCTGGTTTATTTGCTACAGRATCCAAATATCTTGCATTATATTCTATTTAATTCCAATCCTGCACTGAAACTAAAAATAGACATACGTGATTTTATTGTTTTTTCTCCCTACTTCTATTTTTGCTAAGGAAAAGATAAACTGTGATATTTGCTTTCAAGTAAAATAAGCACTTCACACTGCATGTGTGTGGCAGTAAAGGTAAAGCCAAGAGAGTATTCCCTGTGCTGGAAATGAAAGGTGGCACAGTATACTCTTTGTTTTTGTTGTAATATAAACCACAAGCTTTGGCCAGTCATCAAGAAAAAAAAYGGTACCTACAGAGCAAGTTTCACCTTTAGAATTAATCCAATGGTCTACGTGAAAATAAAGTGAAGTTTCCTGAAAATCTTTGRCTCCAGAGTACAATAAATTCCCCTGGTAACATTATGCTAGGTAGAATGAAACTTGAAAAACCAAATAATTTCTTGAGAAACATAATCTACAAGCTTTCAACTCAGTTTATCCACTGTAAACTGTGTTTTGTTAATGCCACAAAATATACGAGAAACAAAATTTCCCCTGAGCCTCATGTGCAGTGGAATGAAAATGTTTCTGCTTATCTGTACCACACTGAGAGCCAAAATCTCATTGGACCCAGGCAGAAGTTATGTTGTTAATAATTTTAACTAACTTTTCCCTCCGGTAACACTAAGAGAAGATAGAAGGAGACAGAATCCACTGCTCTTTTCAGAAAACATCCTCTACTGAGTGTTAAAAGAGCAAAGCTTACCGTACAATAGAAACTGAAGTGAATCCACTTCCCCCTATCCATGCAGCTGTTCATTACACARTACTTTGATTTCAGCAATGAATTTGGCTTCAGAAGGTTTGACCTTTTCCCTGCCCACCTAATCTCACCTTTCTGCCACAAACTTTCATCTTCTTTGTGTGTAACTGCAACTCTTTGGGGACCTGTACTATGAGATGGTCCACAAAAAGGATTTGGGTGGAAACCCAATGTCTTCTCCAGTTTCCCCAGCTAAACTTGTGGTAAAGCAAATATATCAGAGAGCCTGCACACAAGAAATGTTGTCCATTTTCCCAACCAAAGTATAGCTAAATGTGGAAAATGCCATGACCTTTAGTTTCTGCATTGCTAGAGGGGTACAAAAGAAATTCAGAGATCAATGAAAGCGATTGGGCAATTACTTTAGAAAGTATTTATCTGTAGTATAAAAGTAGCAAAAAGTGGATTGGAATTCAGAATACCAGGAATTTATTTCTAGCTCTCTAATTGATCTCCAGGTCAAATACAAAGAAGGGTATTTAGGCTAGAAGAAGTGAAGATCCTGATACTTTCACATCGCTATTAAAACATCATCATAGTGGGCAATAAAAATAAATTAACGACATGAAAATGAAAGCGACTACTTTTAGATGGACACAAGGTAAAAGCTTCTGTCATGCCAGAAGGTGTAAAGCAAAGGTAGCTGCGGCTGAAGGTCACCTCCATTTTGCAATTGGGAACAAACAGTGATTACATCTTTTCAAATGTTTAATCTGTAAGCACCAAGGAACAGGGGCACAGTCTAGCAATGCTTGCAGCAACAATAGAGAGCTCGAGCCAACCCCAGAAAGAGAGGACAGCCTATTTAAGAGCTTCTCTGCTTTTTCCTCCACTTTGAAGTATCCTCTTCTATCCAGCACCAACACAGAAAATTATCTTATTAACAGCTAATTAGCAAACAGTAGATGCTTTGTCTGTTCTCCATAATTTAGAACAAACCAACTCTGTTGTATTTAAGTGATTTCTAGATCTAAAGTGTGAAGGCTTCCCTACCCACTGATCTGATAACTGTACATATCCCAGCTTTCCCCCTTCTCAGTCCCCCTTCTCTGATACTCCCTCAGCAAAAACACTGAAAGAGACAAACCTAAACCCCTGCATCTACTTCCTCCCACACCCACACAGCA